TTCTGCTTTGCAGAGCAGCTGGCTTCCTTAATGCTTCCGAGGTAGCTCAATTATGTGGATTGTTTCAGTTTGGGCTGCTGAATTAAACCAGCTGGTCATGAATAGACAGAGGACTTATCACTTACTGGCTGAACTGCTTTAGCTATTAAGGAGTGAGAGAGACAGGCAAATGATTGTTAATATTGCAGAAAATTTAACAAGGAGCCTGCCATGACTTCCTGTTGTATCCTTTAAGGTTCCCCTGGGTGAAAGGAGGGCTTGTGTTTTGCCTTTCTGGCCCTGGGGGTCGAAGTACTGCTTGGGGTGAAGTAAGAAGCATGCCTGGTTGAAGGAAAAGCAGAAAGGGTTGTTTGGAATTTTGGAGAGCAACCTGTGTGCTTCTGGTTTTTGCATATCCCTTCAGAATAGTGTCCTGTGAGGTTTGTCCCAAAGGTATTTGCATGACTTCCTGGGCAGGTATTTGCATTCACCTGGAAGAAGTTGCCAGGGTTCTAATTCTTCTCATTGCTGCTGTGTAATTCCAGTGAAGGGACAGAGTGAGCTGGCCACGCAGAGTGAAGACTTTAATGCTTTCCTTCATCTCATCCAAAACTCTATACCCATGCAGCTGGTGACTGATAAGGGTCCTTCACCCTGACATACATCCGTGCTCCTGAAGAGCTGGACACTCACCCCAAAGCCAGGCTATAGACCAACTGAAACATAATGGCTTTTACTCTCGAACTGTGCTGGGGTTGGGAGTGGTGAAAAGGGTGAACTCCTTGAGCACCTAGTAGCAGCTGACTGTGTCACTTGTCCTGCTCTTGTTCTGAGCTCACATATGGTGAGCTAGGAATGCATGCACCCCTTTGGGGAAGAGGAGTGGCCTCAGAAAAGTTCCACCTGCACCCTCATGAAAGTGCGTGAAGCGCCAGCAAGGCAGAGAGCAGGTTCTCTATGATCTGGGCAGACGGGTAAAGGAGGGGTCCTGGAGCCCTCAGTGGCTTTTTCCAGCTTTTAATGATCTTTCTGCAGCATTTGTCCTGAGGCAACCAGGTGCAGGGCAGGCAGCGGGGCCTGGGGGCCAGGAGGCTGGGAGGCCTCCTAGTCCCCAGAGAATCTTTACTCTTTCTGGGCTGTCTGGCTTCTCTCACGGTCTCTTTGCTGGTCTTTACTGCTTTCCACCCGCACAGTCTCCTCCCGCTTCCCGTCCTCTGCCACGGCCCTTTCATGCGCAGTCTCGGCTCAGGCATGCTCACTCACGCACGCGCTCTCACGCACGCCCATACCATGCTCCCGGTGTTGCCATCAGGCACGCGTGTAAGCCCACAGCTGCCAATCATTGAAACTAATGGCGGGAGGGCCGAAAAAATCTGATCATTCCCATTTACTCTACAGCGCCACTCCATAAGTTCCCAAAGTCCCTACTAGACTAGAGCCTCATAAAAGGGGCACTTGTCCCCTACCCACCAGCCGCCATGAACATCTGCCCCTTCAGTGCTGCCAAGGAATGCATCAAGACATCACTTTAAGAGGGGCGGTGGCGCCATGTCCGGCCGCGAAGGTGGCAAGAAGAAGCCCTTGAAGCAGCCCAAGAAGCAGGCCAAGGAGATGGACGAGGAAGATAAGGCATTCAAGCAGAAGCAGAAAGAGGAGCAGAAGAAACTCGAGGAGCTAAAAGCGAAGGCTGCGGGGAAAGGCCCCCTGGCCACAGGTGGAATTAAGAAATCTGGCAAAAAGTAAGATGTTCCTTGTGCCTGAGGCAATGGTGGTCCTTAATTCCATTCGTATTTCAACATGTGGATTCTCTGCCATAGTATCTTTCGACGCCAATAGCTAGAATGAAGCGTCTTGGAGCCTGTTGTACATTTAAGAATAAACTTTTGTAAAAAAAAAATAATAATAAAATAAGAAGTCATACACTGGCTCATCTTTAGTTCTTCTCACTTAGCCATTTCTACCTTACCTGTGAGGTCAGAGAAAACCCAGTGTAGAATCCTGCCAAAGTGTGCTCATCTTCATCTTTGTTCTATCTTGAATTCTGTACTACCTGGAATTAAACCAACTCATTTGAAATGACAAAAAAAAAAAAAAAAAAAAGACATCACTTTAACTAGATTGATCCCCAAACCAGACTGTACAAAAGGCAAAACCAAAAATGCACATTTTAATCTCAACCTGCTCCCACTACGTGGTCCAGCCACACTTGCCAGCTGTTTTCTTCTTTTGTTTGTTTTTTACCTTTAGATTTGTCAGTCATTACATGTCTACATAACATTGGGGGTATATTTACTCCTCCATATGTGCACATGCTTTAATTTACCCTACACCCAACCTCCTGTACCAACGTCCTACCCCTCCTTTCTCTTATCCCTCCCCCAGCTCCACTCCCTCTGGTAACCTGTACATTTTTCTCTTTTGTTTAAAGACTTATTTATGCATACAAGAGCTGGGGTACAGGCCAGAGATGTGGGGGGTGAGAGGATTCACCAGAGACAGAGTGGGGAACAGAACAGGCAGATTGACTGAAATACACTGCTGAGGGGAGCAGAGGGCGAGACAGGAGAGGTCTGCTGTGCCATGTGGGTTGCTCCCTGGCCGGCCGGGATCGAATTTGTGCTGCGGAGGCTGTGGATTGCTTCATAGTGCAGTGCTTAACCCCTTGCACCACCAGAGAGGCCCTGACCTGTAAATTTTTCATTATGTCTAAGATTTGTTTTTGCTGTATTTTGCCAGTGCGTTTTTTGATTATTTATACCCCACACATAAGTGAAACCATCAGATACCTGTCTTTCACTTTCCAACTTATTTCACCTAATATAATCACCTTGAGGGCCAACCATTTTGTCCCAAAATTCACTATTTCATTTTTTTAAATAACTGGGTAGTATTCCACTGAGAATGCCGTCTACAATGTCTATATCCACTCTGTCTCTGGTGAATCCTCTCACCATCCCCTCCACACCTCCGGCTTACACCCCAGTTCTTGTATGCATAAATAAATAAATCCTTAAAAAAATAGGTGATGTTGAACATGTGCTTGTAGTCCATCTAAATGTCTTCTTTAGAAAAATATCTATTCAGGTCTTTTGCCCATTTAAAAAAAAAAAAAGATTTATTTTATTAATTTATGCACATAAGAGCTGGGGGGTAGGCCATAAGTGCATGGGGGTGAGAGGATTCACCAGAGACAGAGTGTGAGTAGAACATGCAGATCTACTGAAACACACTGCTGAGGGGAGCAGTAGGCTTGACAGGATTGAACTCATGCTGCAGTGGCTGCCTATAACTTCATAGTGCTGAGTCTTAATCCCTTGTGCCACCTGGGAGGCCCTGTTTATAGACCTCTTCCCAGCTAAATTCTTTGTATATAGAAGACATGAGTGTGAGCTAACCTGAAGAACAGAGTCTCGACCACGGGACTTGGTTCTATATATTTGTCAGTCATTGCAATTTTCTAGACAATGTAACTTGACTTTATTTACCAGACTTTGTGAACTCTCTTCCAGCAGCTGCAGGCTGGGGAGTCTTCACTGGGCAAACCCTCAGCACCTCCCATGTTGGGTGAATCTCCTCCAAGACTACCGTGGAGACATCTTCTTGTTTCTCTCATGAATTTATGTTGGTTATTTGTTGATTACATGGCAATGTAGAAATTTGGAAATTACAGGAAAGAATGAAGAGGCAGGACACCATCAGCCATGCTCGATTCCCCCCCACCCCCCCCAGTAACCAATATTAGCATGCTTCTCTCCTCCCCTTTATTTATTGGGGCACATAGTCTAGATCTTACTACCTCAAGATAGTTTCCTGCTTTCCCCCTTAAGTAGCATTTTTCCCAAGCTTTTAAGAATTTTTGTTACCATGAATTTATTTAATTTATATATTTTAAAGATTTATTTATTTATGCATACAAGAGCTGGGATACAGGCCGGACATGCAGACGGTGAGAGATTCACCACACACAGAGTGGGGAGAGAGCAGGCAGATCTATTGAAATACACTGCTGAGGGGAGCCGCGGGCTAGACAGGAGAGGTCTGCTGAGCCATGTGGGTCACCTCCCTGGGCAGGGATTGAACTCGTACTGTAGTGGCTGCGGATAGTTTCATAGTACTGCAACTTAACCCCTTGTGCCACCAGGGAGACCCCTGTTACCATAAATTTAAATAGAACATCATATTCTGTCTTATGTAGGCACTGCCATTTATATAACTCTTAAGATGCGTGAGTCAAACACTTCCATGAAACTTAGTGCTGAAAGAGAAAGTAATTGCAGGTGACAGTGTGTGCAAGCTTACTGTTGGCAAATACTCTTATAACTGCTTCACATGTATTAACTCATCTAATCTTCATACACATCCAGGAGGCAGATATGTTACTATCCCCATGTGATGGGATACAAACTGGAATGCAAGGGAGATGAGTGACTCGGAGGAACAAAGACCTGCTTTGCCAGTCATTGCACTTTTTCATTTGTGCTCATACATCTGTAAACTAGTCAGTCCCGGAATTAAATGCAATTTTTTTTTTTTTTTTTTTTTTTTTTTTGTGGAACCCTCGCTGGCGGCCGGCCGGGAATGAACCAGCGCTGCAGAGGCTGCAGCCCAGTGCTCAACCGCTGCGCCACCAGGGGAGGCCCTTAAATGCAATTATTAAGGCAGTCTTCCATCCACCATGCAATATACAATAATAATTTCCAGTCAAGAGACATGTTCTCAGGCTCCAATACACGTTCTGTGATTGGTTTACACTCTAGACACATGATACCATTTATCAGCCTGAAGTAACGATGATGTTAAAAATCTTATGGGAAAGGGAATAGACAAAGCAAAAGGCATTTTTGCTTCTCTGAAGTGTCATCCTGTATGTGCCATTGTACAGGACCTACTACCTATAAACTTAAAGCTTAAGTAGATGAGAAATTGCCCACTGCAGCACGAGTTCAATCCCCTCCCTTCCCTCAGAACAGCATTTGAAACTCTTCTCTATCCTGACCAAGTACAGATGGTTGCCAGGACCCAGAGTGTCCCCTAGTTCCCTTTCTTTGCTCTGCAGCATCTTAAGAACCTCCCCACTTCCCCTTGTAGACTGCCTGAGATTCGGCCCTTTCCCTGTCAGCCCTTTCCCTGTCGGGACTTTGCATCCCCACCGCTGAAGTACTGATGTGGGTGTGGGCTTTGGTCAAGATCAAAGCCTCCATCCTTTCTTGTGAGCACAATTCCCCACGATGACAGGAGTTGGCGAAATTCTGTCTGGTGAAATTCTTAGCTCTACATTCCCTGATGTCTTGACCCCTGGGGTATCTCTCTGCAGGTCTCTGACCCCAAACGGGTTCCAGGCCTTGCTGGGCACTGCTCTGTCTTCGTTCTTCATCTCCCCACTGGGGCCTCCTTCTCCAGGTTTCCTGAGGAAGAGTCCCCTCCAGTGAAGCCTTCCAGATAGCTGTTCCTGAGAAGGGGGTGCCAGAAATACTGGACCCTCTTTCTTCCTCACTATTCTCAAGTTGAGGCCAGTATTTCTGCCCCACATTCACCCCCATAGTTGTAGCAGAGGACTTGCCCCCCACATGAGTCTGGACCAGGTCTGAGGATGTCAATGATGCCCAAGCTTGTACTGTCAGAGGCCAAGGACTAGTCAAGGGACTTAAGTCCTTTCTAGTCACTCTATCGTGTCTCCTTTTTGGAATCCCTATGTTTTCCCCGCTGTTAGCCAATAAATCCTGCCCCAGAGTTGCAGCTGAGTAGGGAACACCAGCCTGTGCACTCTGCTGGGAGGGAGTAGCTGAAGGTTGATCCTCCTCACCCTCGGGCTTCTTGCTTTTATGCTCAATATTGACTCCACTGTTGGCAGAAGGTGCAGACTCCACTAAGGTGGTCAGGGCCTGAGCTGGGTTTGTGTAAGTTACCCAAACCTGCACTGTCAGAGGCCAAGGGCTGACCATGACCTTTTTGTCATTTATGTTTCTCCCAGCAGGGCTGCTTTTCTCTCCTTCCTTTATCACCCCGCTGGCTGCCAGAGAGGCCCCAAGAGGGCCCCGAATTAGACTTGCTGCTGGCAACAGGGCATCAGCTGGCTCCTTCCAAGGCAGAGTGAGAATTGCTGTCTTCTCTTGCTCACCATTCCCCAACTTCTCCTTATTCTGTCCCACGTTGACTCCAGTATGAGCGAATGGCAAAACTCCCGGGACACAATTCTGACCCAGAACTGGGGCTGCGGAAGATGCCCGCGTCTGTAGCGTCAGAGGCCAAGGAAGATAAACATTCTTATTTTCCTTCCGATTCCTCCCTTTCCAGATATTTTTCTTCCCTGTGCTCCCCGCACATCCAGCCCCCTGCCAAGCAGCATGAACACGGTCCGGAGCTGCATCTGGCCATGGTGTGTGATTTGCCTCTGCAGGCAGGGCTGCTAGTGATGCCGTGGTATCTGGATATGTGTCACTTGCCTGGATCGTCAGATCCTCCATCTGATCTAAAACGTCTTTTTCCATGATTCTCCTTCCTCCAACTTTTGTTTGCTTTTGTTTCTGAATCAGGCAAAGTGTTTACCTGGAGCAGAGGAAAGAGAAACAACCCAAGAGGGAAATTTGAGTTATAATCAAAGTTACCCAAAAAAGAGCCTTCTAGAAGGAGAGTATCAAGTATCTGGTCTAGGGGCTGAAACAATTTGGAAACAGAGCAGAGGGAGGAAGCCGGCAAGGTGAAGGTATCAGACATCTGTTGTCACCAGCAGCTGCGTCACAATGCAGTGCTGGAATCTTCCACAAAATGCTCTAATCCAAGTACGGAACATCTACCAGAGGCCCTGGCTATTTTCCAAATACTGATGGACAGCACAATTGTCAGTATTCACCAGCTTTTGATATCAGCACCATTGTCTTTAAAAAGCAGAGAGCAACAGTGGAAAGCTATGTCCTACAGGGATATTTCATTAACTATTCCCATTTGTGTCAAAGGGGTAAAGAGACAAGGGTTCATGGTCAAGTTGAGGCTTTAGTATAGTTGTTACCTTTTGATGCCTCAGATATCAGCCCCAGGCAACCAAACCATAGGTGAGAAATCTGTGGCTAAGCCTATAAAATCACAGCAAGAAAGAGTCATGAAAGTCAGCCTGCCCAGGTGCCCCTGGGTGCCAGTCTGTACAGACACTTACCTAGTTGTCCAAGAAATGCTCAGTCAGTCTCTTCTCTTCTCAAGCTCTCGCTTTTTGATACACACCAAAGACCCAGAGGCTCTACGTAATTTGGTAACACAGCATTATCAAGTGAAGAGGTTCTGTTTGGTTCAGCACAGTGTAATCATTTAGGTCTCCCTAACTCATTTTCAATTCTTTGCAAGTTGAAAATCCAGGTCTGTGCCAGAGACCTCATTCTATTAGCCAGCACAAACTATTCTTCATGCATTCTAGAAAAGTAGAGTTATAGAGATAGTTCCTATTTCCCAAGTTCATAAATGATCCTGTCCTGTTGTAAATTTGAATCCTTTTTAAAGCTTTCTACGGTACTGTGTAAATGTGTAACATAATCTTGAAATGGACTATTTACATAATATCCTTTCTCTCTAACCAAATCATTTTTATTGCACTTTTGGCCGGAAAAGAAAAGAAAGAAAAAAAAAAGAAATCAAGGAGGGATCAAACTCCCTTTCTCCAGTTATGACTGACACAGAGAGTTCAATGAGGTCCCTGTGTTGTTTTTTTTTTTTTAAATAAGAAAATGTAGCCACACAATGGAGCAAAGCAAGACCTGGCATTGACATAGTAGGGTTAGAAATGGAAAACTTGTTTGCATTTTTAACCTGGAACATGTTTTTATCTAGGACAAGAGGTGCAACAGTTACCGTGTGAATGTGGTGTTCCCAGTGGACATAGAGGGCAGGCCTTCTGGACCTTCTCTTGGGTGCCACCAAAAGCCACAAACTATTTTTTTTAAAAGATTTATTTGTTTATTTATACAAGCTCTGGGTACAGTCAGAAGTGCGGGAGGGTGAGAGAATTCACCAGAGCCAGAGCAGGGAGCAGAACAGGCAGACTGAAGAAATACACTGCTGAGGGGAGCAGCGGGTGGGGCAGGAAAGGTCTGCGCACCATGTGGGTCCCTTGTCGGTAGCTGGGGATTGAACCGGCGCTGCAGAGGCTGCGGGCAGCTTTGCAGCCCAGTGCTCAACCACTGCGCCACCAGGGGAGGCCCCACAAACTATATTTGCACAAACAATATTCTCACCAATCCTCTTTCCCCTGCTCCCAGTGTAAGATTAAAGATAGAGAAATCACACAGCAACATTTACATATTTTCATTATTTAGCATAGTTCCTGCTTTTTAAACATCTTCCTTGATGCAATGGGTGTCCTTTTTCACTGTTTGGTATAGGCGTTAAAGTAGTTGCAGTGCGAAGACTTAACTTGTGACAAACGCAGAGGTTATCACTAAATGAAAGCCAGCTGGCTGACTGCCAAGAAGCCACTAAAGGTAAAATTTACCTTGTTCAATGCGGTGGAGTTCAAGGTCAGGTCCCCACACTGAGAGTGCTGCATGTACATTAACCAAGCCCACAGAGCCAGGTCTCTACCTCTGTTTATATCTCTATTGTCTCCATTCAGATCCACACCCATGTTCCTAACTTTATCTATATCTACATACGATATGCTGCCGCCTGGAAACGAAGTGGAGGATGATGCCTCCTTTAGGCTCCTCAGATTTCCCTCTGGTGTGTTCACCCTTTGTTTTATACAGATCCATTTTTCCATTGAACTAGTATTTGCTGGCACTGCAATGTGCCAAGCATGAGGTTACGTGCAGGGGAGTATACACACTTAAGTTTCAGGTTACTTAATTGTAATCAAAATACATTATGGTTTCTCTGAGGTGACTACCTTGACACATACAATCACAGACACTCTCTCGATTGATTCTCAGACAGTTAATGGCTTTCCGTGTGTGGGAGTTCTATGAATGTATTACCTTTTTGCCTGGTTATTGAGACCTCCACACTCTTTGGCACCCTGAACTTGCAATAATCTTTTTTGGCTTTTGGGTAGGAAATCACTCCTGACTTTACCACCATCCTTCCGCATTCTCTTATCACCACTTCCTTTCCAATTTTTCAGTTAAGGAGTAATAACTGTTTGATGCCCATGTGTTTTTTTACCAAGAGTCCAATTTACATGGACTGTGGATAGGAACTGGCCTATGTTCCTATCCCATGTGGATAGGAACTCTCCTTTGACAGGCAGGGTCCTTTGAGGGGCAAATATTTGAAATCATGTACTGAGAGGGTTGGGAACCTGGAAAAACAGTGCATGTCATTTAGGATTGTTTCATGATCTCACTTATAGGAGGAATATAGGGGCCCCAAATAAGGGATCAAGGAAAAAATAATACAATAAAAAAAATTAGCAGGCAACGATAAATCAGAGACATTCTGCAGGAGAAGGGGAGGGAGAGGGATCAAAACAAGGGAGGGAAGAGCACAAGGGACTATGGATGCTGCACAGGTGAACTGGTGGTGGGTATTCTATGGAGACCACACCTGAGAGGAGAAAGGAAACATTGTACAAAATGAACAATGATGTAAAATATATATAAATAAATAAATCATATAAAAATAACAAAAAAAAAAAAAGGAAAGTGACCCAAAACACCTCCAAACAAGCTTGAGCCAACTTCATGCACAGCTTCCTTCAGAATACAAATTCTTTTACTAGGAGCCATCAGAGATATCCCTCTAGGTTAAGTTTCTGTTTTCAGGCTCTTACTGGACCCTGAGCCTTGGGCCTACAGTGTCACAATCCCTAATCCAAGAGCGGAATTCGCTTCCCTGGTGGAGTAATGGAAGTCCCTAACTTAAGTCTCGGTACAAATTGGCCTGACACAGGCCATATGTCCATCATTGAACCAACTGTGGATGGAATAGTCAAATGCTAACTTCAAATTTAAGAGGGAAGCTGGAAAGTATATTAGACATGGTTGAGGAAACAGGAAAGGTAACGATGCATGGAGAAGTGAAAAAAAAGCCTAAAGCAATTCCTGAGTAGGAATTTAGGAACACAATTTTCTTTTCTTTTTTTTTTTAAAGATTTATTTATTTATGCATACAAGAACTGGGGTACAGGCCAGAGGTGCAGGGGGTGAGAGGATTCACCAGAGACAGAGTGGGGAACAGGACAGGCAGATCGATGGAAATACACTGCTGAGGGGAGCAGTGGGCGAGTCAGGAGAGGTCTGCTGAGCCATGTGGGTTGCTCCCTGGCTGGGGATCGAACTCGTGCTGCAGTGGCTGAGGATAGCTTCATAGGTTGTGTCTTAACCCCTTGCGCCACCAGGGAGGCCCAACTACTCTCTGACTTTTTGATTAATGCCATATTAATGGTTATGAAATGGTATCTCACTGTAGTTTTGCCTTGCATTTCCCTAATGACTAAAGTAAGCATAGCTTCATATGTTTACTGGCCATTTCTATGGCTTCTTAGGAGAAATATCTATCCAATTCCTTAACCAATTTTTATTTTTATTTTTTTAAACTAAAACATAGCTTGTAGTGGGCAAAGAAAATATGGCACAACCTTAAATTCAATCATAACTCTTTTATGTAAAAATATTTAAAAAATATTAAAAACAGGGTCTCCTCGGTGGTGCAGTGGGTTGAGCGCTGCGCTGTGAAGCTGTCCGCAGCCTCTGCAGCGCCGGTTCAATCCCGGCCGGCCGGCGAGGGTCCCACATGGCGCAGCAGACCTCTCCTGTCTTGCCCGCTGCTCCCCTCAGCAGTGTATTACCTCAGTCTGCCTGTTCTGCTCCCTGCTCTGTCTCTGGTGAATTCTCTCACCCTCCCGTGCCTCTGACTGTACCCCAGTTCTTGTATAAATACATAAATCTTAAAAAAAATTAAAAACAGTATCAAATCAATGCCTGTGTAATAATAGACTAAACACTACAGAAGATCTTATGATGGGAAGCCACAGTCTCCTGCTCTCTCCCCTTCCCCCAGGTCCACATACCATAGACAACATTTTAACAGTTTGAATTTAAGTTTTCTGGCTACCATCTTAGCTACAGGTCCGAGCTTGCGCACTGAAGACCAGCATGCCATATCTTGCCCAGAGATGCATTTTGTTTAATTTGCATGGTGTTTTTTTCCATAGTTAACAGTAAATGACTGTTAACATTTTAAAATCATAAGACATTATAAAGCTGAATTTCCAACCTTTTTGAGAAATTGCAACCTACGTTATGTGATCTGAGCTGGATAGTAGCTGCAGTATCTAATTCCCTGCAGTGCCTACCTTATCAGGTGTGAACATTTGCAACCTGCCTGGGATTTCCAGACATTGGAGTTTGAATTTGTAACCTATATTTTACTTCTTTGTTACCAAAAACAAATTTTCCTATCAGCAACATGGGCATCACCTGGGCACTTCTCAGACATGCAGAATCTTGGGCTCTATTTCAGACCTGCTGAAGCAGTGAACTCTAAGAAACATTCATGTTTGCATTAAACTCTTCCTGAGAAACCTTGAAGTTGCCTCTGACATATCCTCACATGAGGCCAGTGCCAATCAATTGTTAAATCTCAAGGTCTTCATAATGAATTCCCAGAAATCTGGGGTGTCTCGAGAAAAGTCACAGTTTCATTAAAATAAAACTGAACTTGAACTCAGAAAGTAAACAGAAGTTCATAGAAAGGAAACAGAAAATTGGTTTAGAAGCTGCTTTCTAATTCTGAAGGGGTAAGAGAATAATTACCTTTCGCTCTAATTTGAAGTACATAGAGCAATTTTCTCATCTATCACAATATTATCTAATAAATCTGAGGCAAGAGGCACCAAACTATTTCCAAACATAACAACTTGCTAACAGAGAGACTGTCCACAGCTCTTGTGTCCCCTGAAATCAAGCCTGCCTATGGCAAGGAGACCAACTCAAGACACAAAATAGCAGAGTACAGTTTAATAAGGTCAGAAACTCCCCCACTCCTTGCACAGCAGGCAGTTTTGGGAGGATGAAATAGACAAAGGAATGGATAAAGCTGCCTTGGGGACAAGGCCATAAAACTGACCACCATGACCAGAAACACCGGGTCAGCTCCAGGAATGCAGAAGCCTCACCCCGGTATTTTCCCCACAACACAAAAGTACCCTTTTGACATTAGAAACCTTATACTCAGACAAGGCGAACAGTGGGCTAAACATATTACAGGGTAGGGAAAGGCTGAAGAAACCAATCAGATTTCCTTTTCCTCTATGGACAAACAGGTAGCCAAATGATGGAGTAAAGATACTCCAAGTTATATAGCATCTACACCAAAGGTGATTTAAAAAGTGAGGCCTAATGGGCCTCCTCTGGTGGCGCAGTGGTTGAGCGCTGGGCTGCGAAGCTGCCCGCAGCCTCTGCAGCACCGGTTCGATCACTGGCCACCAGCAAGGGTCCCACATGGCAGACCTCTCCTGCCTCCTGCTGCTC